CATGTTGAGTTTACTTAACAATTCAGAGTCGGTAGTTTCAAATTCCAGTTAACTAAGACACTGTTTATAACAGATAAGGGTATATTTCTGAACATACATTGTAATATAAAAAAGTAATTTTAGTTAATACTTGTATTCTTATTGTCAGTTGTGACCAGATCATGGTGGAATGTTTGTTGCCAGAATTCAACAGAATTTGGATTTCAATGAAGTAAACTGAAAAAGTGGAATTCTTTCAGGTTTTTGTAGTGAGGTTCAATTAACTTTTTCTCCATATCCCCATGTTACCCCTTGAAAAGTTGATAGGTTATCCAAAATATGCCATGTGAAGTTAAAGTTTGGAATAAAAGACAAGGCTATGCTCGGGATTTAAGATTGTATAAGGTGGTAGATTTTAGAATTTCCAGAACTAAAATTGAATTGTACACCACGCTAATGAATGTAAAATGATCCAGTTTGAGAATTTGTTGTATGCTTGTAATGGACCTAACAGAACTCAATATTGTGTAAATGATTTCCAAATCTGATAGTCTCCCTGGTGCCTTTTTTCAGGTCACATTTCTTCGATACACTCAACAGTGGAAGAAGAAAATTGTGTTTGTGTTAAATAAATCAGATATCTACCGGACTGCCCATGAGGTGTGCTTGTATCTATAATGTTCATTACTTTCTTGAGTTATTTGTGAAATATATGTATTTCTATTGAGCTTTTTAAGCATGATTTTTTTCTTTTTTTTTTTAATTGGCTTGTAATAACTTGTATAGCTTGAGGAAGCAATTTCATTTGTCAAGGAGAATACTCGGAAGTTGCTGAATAGTGAAGATGTAATATTATATCCGGTGTCTGCACGGTCTGCTCTTGAAGCAAAACTTTTGACTTCATCTGTTGGAAAAGATTATGAAGAACTATTAGATTTTGATTATCAGGGTAGAACACAACGCTTCCATGAACTTGAGGAGTTCTTGTACAGCTTTTTGGATGGTTCAACAGATACCGGAATTGAAAGGATAAAACTTAAACTTGGAACTCCAGTTGCAGTTGCAGAACGTCTCCTTGCTGCATCTGAAACACTCGTGAGGCAGGACTGTGAATATGCCAGACAGGACTTGGCCTTAGCAAATAGAATAGTTGATAGTGTTAACGAATACAGAATGAAGATTGAAAATGAGAGCATCTCTTGGAAAAGACAAGCTTTATCTATGGTATAGTTTTCAGCAATGTTTTTTTATGTAGGAAGGAAATTGGATATTTGATTCTTATTTATGAATCACATGTAATTGCAGATTGATTCCACAAAGTCACGTGTTGTTGAGCTCATAGAATCTACTCTGCAATTATCAAACCTTGATCTCGTTGCTTCACATGTATTTAGAGGAGAAAGATCTGCCACAGTGCCTACCACCTCAAGGTTTCAAAATGATATACTTGCTCCAGCACTCTTAGATGCACAGGTACGTCTTTATCTGTTTAATATCTCTCTCTAGTGGATTCATATTTTATTTTTTTTTCTAGTTAACTTCATACGTCTTCTCCTGATAATTATTTTTATAAGATTTTTTCTCATAAGTTTTGTTTGGATCAGAGGTATGGCTGCTGTATTTTCTGATCTGTAGTCTTGGAATACATTCTTGAGTGTTTTCTTTATGTGAAATAGTAATTAATAATTCTCTATTTATTATTTTAGTAATTTTTTGTTGGCATACAGAAATTGCTAGGTGAATATGTAAGGTGGTTGCAATCTAACAATGCCCGTGGAGGGAGACTCTATAAGGAATCTTTTGAGAACAAATGGCCTTCTTTGGTTAATTCAAAAACTCAGCTGCATATGGAGATGTATGATCTGCTTAAAAAAGTTGATGAGCTCAGCTTGAAGGTGGTAGAAGACTTGAGTGCGAGTGCTACTCCAAAC